GCAACCTGCTAAAGTCACTGATCATCATGTTCCGTGAAGAACGCCTCTACAATTTCAGTATACTCTGAAGAGTACGTCTCTCAAAACTTGTTAAAAACAGAACTCGTCAGACACACGTAAATTTAGACTGCACGGAGAGAGTTTTCAAGCGAGATACTTCGTGCATATCGTGGAAAGGTTTACCATAGCCAACAGTTCATTCAGTAACGGACTTACCTTAACGTCATATTTCGAAATAAGAGTCTACTTAACTAAGAAAACGTAAATTATTAAAACCCAGGAGAAGGCCGCGTTCTGAAAACGGTGATTTATGTGCGCAATTAGATTCACGTCAAGTTACGTGGGCCAATTAACGTCAAACCGCGGTCATTTTATGTACCATGTAATGACATTTGAAAAGAAATCAGAGTTTTACACGAATCCAAATTATCCTGTCATTCATAACTTTATACACACATCATGTATAGATACGTTCACTGTGGAATAATACCCCCATCCCACAACGCACAGACTCGTCAGCCAATCCGCAGTTTACAACACCGGAAGTTTTTCCTTCTCACCTCCCGACAACTGTCGACAGTTAAAATGTCAAAATGTAAACTGAATTCGTAAAAGGAGATGGCTGTCTTCTGGTTGTTGCACCGTGTAGATCCTTACAGCAAGGATCTCTGAAACGTCTGTAAACTTCTACCAGACTACATGGCGTAAACAACCCAGAAGACAATCGTGTACTCTTCGGCAGATGCATAGCAACTTCAACCCCGCAGAAGGGGGCAGTACGTTTATCAGAAAAGCGGGTTTATATGGTGCCAAAACCCTGAAGGAGATCACGGCCCCCTGACCCTCGCCGCTGTGAAATCTCGCATTTCTTGAAGAGTTGATAAACACAGTTCACGAAAAATTCGCTTTCAAGCCAGAGGTTCCTTACGGTATTTCGAAACGCCCTTCAAACATAAATGTTGGCATATCCTGCCATCCACGCACGTATCCCAAAAGGAGCTTCTTCCCTTGATAATTCCATCTACTTACGCGAGTTACATCTCACTCCCTTCTGATCTGTTCACCCTGCAACATTAGGTAAAGATTATTAATTATTAAACTCTACGCCATGCAAAATTCTCAACACTCTCTTAGCTTACTTCCTCTCTCCGCCCTCATAATTTTCATAGTTTTTCTCCCGTTAACTCTATACTGTGATTCAGTAGCAGCAGCACATTTCAATATCCACACACGTCATTTGTCATCATATTAACTATTCAACAGCCTAAATTCACGTACGAGCTGATTAATGTGTTTGTAGATTAGGACACCAAATCGATTAAAAATTTAGACCCATTAAGCATATATCACAGTAAATAGAATATATATTCCCGATTATAAATTATAAGCAGATTAAATATGGGAAATGTCCGATACCATTCAGTACAGAATCTCCCCATTTTCGGGTGCAATCTACAAAAAAATAACTATGTTGTTGTTTTACATGGGTAAACATCAGAGACACCATCTAACGCAAAGCCTCTCCTACGCCTTCATGCCTTGATTTTGTGAGCACAGGGGAAATTTCTTTGAATTTTATTTCAATTCTACATTGCGACAGGCAAAAGACATAATCGGGCGATGACCACTTAACAGTCCCAGTACAAAATGTTGAGAACTGCAGATCTTGGTCCACGTTATCCGCAATGAAGACATCTCTGGGTTTGATCCAAGGTTCTTATCAAATACAACCACGACGTTTTTCAAACAGGTTCTATTTACGTCTTCGAGTGACCTTCAGATAACATTGATTCAAGACTGACACCAGCTCAACCAGGGCCTTGTCCTGCCATCAGCACTGCCAAGACGGGAAATGTAACAATCTCCTAAACGTCGTGATTTAATTAATAAAAACAACTTCGGAAGTGTTTCAAGGAACAATTACTGCATATTCATTGAAGCTGTCGCATTCCCTAGTTTTATGACCTGTAGGAGCGATTAAACGTTCCTCTGTTTACTTCAGGCGATAAAGAATCTTTCGTCGGTCGTGAAGACCGGCCTCGGCACAACCGATGATGAATCAACGGATTATTGGAGTTCGTTTTTTGTTTACAGAAACAGCGGCATGTCAATAATTAGTCAATTAATAATGGGAAAGGAATGGGATCCGTCAAACTCTAATTTAAGGTGCACATATTTTACAAATGCCTGATTTTTAAAAAAAAAAAATTAAATACACCAATGGCACTGCTGTCAACGGAAACAAATCTATCATCGCAAATATGTTCACAATACAGCAGTAAGCTACTCATGAGTCAAATTTCTAAACTGTACTTCGTTCAAAATAAACAGGGCGCATAATACCGTCTAAATTTTCCACCTTTGCCTTCTTCAATCTAAGAAAATCCCTAACTTCTGCTGGCTTTCATGTAAAGTAGGGATTAAACTAGGCTGCTATTAATGCGCCATTTCATTGAAATCCGTTCAACAGTATCAGACGTAAAACCAGGCGGACGGACACGACCATACATCATGATTTTATTTTATTACGGGAGTTATTACATTTTACAAACAAAGGCTGAAAGGCTAGACAGAATTTGCGTTTGGTACGTGCCACAGCTTATTTCAACCATGCAGTCCTAGTAATTGGTGCCGTTCGACGTAACATAAAAGAACAGAGAATATTACAACACGACTATACGCGTACTTATAACATAACCTCACATTATACCGACAAGAAAAGAAAACTCTACATCGGAAACGTTCGTGGAAGCGACCGCACGATTACCTTTGATGCTGATGGGTGAATAATGTTAGAATAAATGTGATTCAACTGCTTTAGGATAGGAGTACAACGAGGGTATTTTATGAATATACGTTGATCAATGTTCGGGTTCCCTTATTTTAGGCATTTTCAAACAATCACATTTTATTATGACTGAACGTTCATGATCACGAATGGTGCTTAATTATCGATTTTGAAACAACTGGTCGCGACCTAATTCGAAGTGAGGTCCCTGAAGACAAGAAGATGCTACTAATAACACGTTCAAACAGCCAGCGATACATCCAATAATCGAAATGGGTACTTCTAAAATAAAACAGGATAACAGTTTTTACAAACTCGGGAAAATTATCATACGAATCGTGGAGAAATGTTGCCAAGATGTGGACAAAAATCTAATGGTGGAGCTCTTAAGAAGGGTCAGACAGCTTCAAAGTAGGAAATGCCTTCACTTATTCAAGGAGAATGAACCACTGGGTTTTTAAGTCAGAAAATTAAACCTCAGTGCAATGAGAACAGCTGGGAGGATATCAAAATGGATCTTAAAATTTGGGAAATGAACGTGGCAAATGGGGGAAAATAAACCAGGATAATTTTTAAAATAAAATTAAATACAAACGTATAGACCCACACACGTACTGAAGCGTCTTTAACCCAACGATGAAAGAAAACAAGACAGAGTTAGGATCTGTTAACGTCGCTGGCGGTTCTGTGCCCCGTGGTCTTTTGACAAGTGAACAGCTAAAGGAAAATCCTGCTCGCTCAGGAATATGTGACGTTCACACAGACATCGCAACCATGATATTGCAGCTAACCGCTCCTTCAACGGAGACACATTTATGCCGCTGGGAAAACCCTGCACGGAACTTTTTACATATTTTGAAGTTCAGTACACTGCGACATCCTAAATACAAATGAGCAGAAAATGTCAACATTTCCATGCCGCTTATTGTTGTGGGCTCACGAAGTCTTGTAATTTTGAAATTTCTTCCCCACGGAGCAATAAGCCCGGATTACTGCAGATTGTTGCCAGCGCTGCGCCGCGCCGGCTGCATGACGATGGCAGCCGGTCTCCAAGCAGCCGAGGTCATCAAATGACGTCACCAGTTACCATAGCAACCGGGCCAAATGACGCGCATCCAAAGCTGCGACCCCATTATCGTCGTACAGTTCCCCGCTTCGCGGCTATTGCAGCAACCGGCAGTTCTGCGCACAATTTTCTTTAAAAATAGCGATAAAAGATTAAATATCCAACATTACGATAAAGGGCAAAAGCCTGCTTTGCGGTTCAACAACCGGATAAGTATCAAACAAGTTAACTCACAACGTTCAGACTAATTTAACTGTTCAGTAAAACAATATCAGCGACTTCAATTTTTCAAATGTTTTTCTATGCACCCTAACCCCAAACAGCGTATTAAGAAATCCTACTTAAAGCCCCTCAGACTAGTACAAATTCTGACTACTTAAACTTGACAGTCGACAGGAAAAACACACTGAAATTAAGTCCATATACTCCAATGTAATCCTAAATAAATTAATTATATTCGTGTAACGGATCTTTCAAAGGTAAAAAAATCAGACAATACTGCAAGTTATTACTAATTACGGTTTTCTAATACCGAAAGAAACGTAGTTTCCGGCCTTCAGGTACTTCCAAAAGAACAGAGTATACAGAGAAGCTGATGCTGAAGAGAGACGTCAGTGTTCTGCAGTGGACAGACGATCCAACCACCAAGCAGATAGGTACAAGTGGTACTCGTTTGTCCTCTGTACTGGACAGACGTGTTAAACAATGGGAGAGACCGATGACGGAGACACTCCATACTCATACGACTGACTGCACGAGAAAGCTTCTTTGTTGCATCTAATCGCCGTGAGAATCTTCCAAAGTCTAATGCGAGTGTAGCACATACTTGGCGGAACATGATACAAACTGTGGCCGATTTTATTTTCAAAGTGGTCTATGTGGGATGCCACCAAATAACTGACGTTTGTTTGAGCCATTTTAAAATTTTAAAAAAAATCCCTTGCGCTTTTTTGTATTTTTTATTTAAATTTAAAGATGTCGATTCGGCAATTACCATCACAGATGCTTCTTGATGCAGCTGGTCAGTTCCCAGTAGCGTACAGTGTTGCAGTCTTTAATATATTAAAATGCGCCGATTAACCTCATCGCTAATTTGAAGGTGTAGTCTCGTTTTCTAGATTTCAGTGCAGTGACGCCGGTTCATACCTGGTGAGAAGAGAAGGGTTGGCGGGCCGCGGGTCCCGGGCCTTGTCCAGGCGGTGTGGGATACCGGGGCGGATACGGCGGGTACTGTTGTTGCTGTTGTTGTTGTTGTTGTTGTTGTTGCTGTTGCTGCTGCTGTTGTTGTTGTTGTTGCTGCTGCTGTTGCTGGGGAAAACTTCCTCCAGGTACGGGGGCCCCGGGACCCGTACCCGGGCCGCCTAAA